GGGAAAAGTGGATTGCCAATGACCTGGTGGTTCCGAAAAAAGTTTCTTCATTAAAACCAATCCACCAACTGGGTTAAAACTCAAAATGCTAAGTTAACCTAAGTTAATGTTTTTATAATTGTGGAGGAGCGGGTTTTTTTTAAATTAAATAAATCCGCCTTTAAAAAAAATTTTGTTTAGGTTTAGGTGTTTCAAGGTTCAAGTAGTAAATAGGGGGAATGGTTATGTCAATTTCTTGGTATAGATCCCATATCTTATTCAACCACCCCCCAATTTGTACTTATTTTTATCAGAAGCAATTCAAAAAAATACCCAAGATCATATTCCTTGGTTAAACTCAAAAACTTGCACCAAAATTTTAATTTCCCAAATCCTGCTCAACCAACATGTGAAGGTTACATTTTAGCAAAAATTTATTTTTTTTTCATCCCCAAGTCCTGTATTTTAACTCCTCCTCGTCTTTTTTAACCTCCATCATATATGTATATATGCTCTACATTCTCATATTCATAAAGTTGATAAAATATATTAAAAAAAGATATTACAAAAAAAACATAGTCTTTTCTTATTTTTTTTTTTTTTTTTTTTTTTTTATAATTTTTTTTTTTAATTTATATTTATATTATATAATTTTTATTAATTTATATTTTATTATATATAATATAATTTTAAAAAAATATATCTTTATTAGTTTATATTTATATTATATAATTTTTAATTTATATATATAATAATATAATAAAATAAACATTTTTTTATATAAAGTTAAAATAACAACTTTTTTTTTTAATTTTTTTTTTTTTTTTACAAACCCACACAAAAAAAAAAAAATTAAAATTTTAATTAAAAAAAAATTAAAATTTTAATTAAAAAAAAATTAAAATTTTATTTCTATATAGTTTCACATAATATATAATATCAAAAAAAAAGTTTTAAATAATAGCAATTATATTTCACATTCCATAATAACTTTCATTTTTTTATTTTCACTCATTAGTTAAAAAAATGCTAGAATCAATTTTATTTGCTATTTTTATTTGGTCAATAATAATTTTAAAAATTATTTTCCGTTCCACCCCACAAGAAACCCAAACCAATAGCCACACCCAAACCAATAGCCACACCCAAACCAATAGCCACACCCAAACCAATAGCCACATCCAAACCAATAGCCACACCCACACCAATAACCACACCCACTCCAACAACCACAAAATTAAAGAAACCACAAATTCTACCCCAATCGATCAATCCCCACAAGAAAAAAACAAATATGATAGTACCTCAACATTCCATTATTCCGCATATAGAAGCTTATATTGTTGTTCCGAATATTATAATAATCGAGATAATTCTGGTCGTTCCTCAGTAACTCAAGAAATTTTAAGTCATTCCCCAAAGCAATTTCTTGAAAAAATCCATGCCCCAAAGGAACCATCACAAACAGAAAATCTATTTCCATATTCACCATTCGACCACACCAGAGAAAGAATGGAAAAAGATAAAATAGAAAATGAACAACAAAAAGAAAAGGAAGATATGGAACAATTAAATAGAGAAACCCAAGAACGTATTGAAAAATTAGAAAAAGAAAGAAAAGAAAGAGAATATAGAGAATCTTTGGAAAAACAAAGATTAATAAAAGAAAGACTTGAAAAAGAAATTGAAGAAGCAAAGGAAAAGAAAAGAAAATTAAGAGAAAAAAAAGAAAGAGAAAAAATAGAAAAAGAACAAAAAGAAAGAGAAAAAAAAGAAAGAGAACAATTAGAACGTACCCAAACAATTTTAAAAGAAACATTAGAAAGAGCAATGGAAAGGGTACGTTTAGAAAACTTAGAAAGAGAAAGATTAGAAAGAGAAAGATTAGAAAGAGAAGAAAGAGAAGAAAGAGAAAAAGAACAACAATTAAGAGAACAACAAGAAAGAGAGGAAAGAGAAAATCAAGAAAGGGAACAACAACAAAGAGAACAACAAGAAAGAGAAGAAGCAGAACGTAGAGAAAACCAAGATCCTTGCACTATTTGTATGGGACACAATTGAACCAAGCCAACTTGCTGCAATCGATTGTAACCACATTTTTTGTTTCGATTGTATTATGGAATTGTCTTATCGTCGTGATAACACATGTCCAAATTGCAGAGCTCCATTCTTTTTAGTAAGAGTAAGTAATTAATACATTCATTTTTATACATATATAATAAAACATATATATTAATTTAAATTATTATTTAATTGTAGAGAGTCAATGGTTCAACAAACTAAGCCAACTTAGAGCAAGGTGATCAAAGTCCACCACTTTTAAATAATGATGATGCAAATTC